GAAAAACCCTGAGCATCAGGGTGTCCATGGGGGTCCTTTCCCCACACCAGTCCATGGGGCTCCCTTTTCCCACCAGTGCCAACAAGGACAGCACTGGCGGGAGCCAAACATCTAACATCCAAATATCTGTCCTAGGCAAATTAGCAGAAACTGTAGAATTATTAGACACATAGAAGAACAATGCCTGCTGATGGGAAATCATCATGGATTCTTGCAGAAGGATGTCCTGCCTCACCCCCTTTTTGGAGTTCTTTGAAAACATGAATAAGCCTATAGACAACGATGACCTGGTAGACATTATGTACTTAGGACTTTTAAAAGGCTTTTGACAAGATACCTCATCAAAGACTCCTGAGTACACTAAATCTGGGTTGGGAGAGGCTTCCTGCCAGCAAAGGCAGAAAAGGTTAAAAAAATTGGTAACATCCATGAGTTTTATCCAAATGCTGGGATTCCTCTGTATGAAGCCAGTGGGGGTCTGGATGTTGGAGGTAACTCTTCTGTATTGGTAAGTTTAGCTTAGTGTTATACTTTCTACTATTTTCCTTAGATCTGTAACCAGTAGGCTGGATAGTATTTTCCCTCTCTTGTTTTCATACCTTAATCTGTAGCAATAAAGTCTTTTCCTGTTTAAGAGAGCAAACTGTGATTCAACTCCTGCTTATGGGCTTCAGATCACTCACTCACGCTTAAACAGGCATGCACAGGAGAAGGGCTGGAATAGTTGGGAAGCTGCCCTTTGTACTTGCTCTGAGGCAGTCTTTACTGCTACTTCCCCAAGTCACTGGTAACGCGGGAGGCTAGATTTCTTGGAGGGGGGGTGCCATTGTTGTATGCACATTTTATGAACCACTTTGTACTCTGCCACTGCCTAACAGGTTTAACTTAGTAGGTATACTTAGCACTTCCATAATACGTATGATCAGGGGTCATTTGGGGGGGGACGCGGGGGGACGCCATCCCCCCGGGTGAGGTGCGGGAGGGCGGGGCCTGGAGCTCCCTGCTGGTGCCTGCTGGAGGTCACCGCCGGCTGTGGGGAGGACACACTTCCGGTGATGTCAGGGGGTGTGGCATATGCTAATGAGTTATGCTAATGAGTCCCCCTAGCTCTTTTTCTACGAAATGACCCCTGCGTTTGATTCTAACATTATGAATGTATTCAGGTATTAACTTTGGTTCATTTGTGACTGTTGTTTGAATGCATGCTGGGAAGAAGGCTGAAATGCTGATACACAGTTATGCTACCCATGACCTTGCTCGTTCTGGCCGGCTACAACTGCACATGTTTCTGATGTCAGTTAACCTAGCTAGAATGAAGAACAGTAAGCACTCTGTAACCATATCAGTTATATATATACAACATGCAGCTTCATAGCTTCTGAAAGAAAAGTGTATTGTTCTGTTAGGAAAAGAAGAACTCTGCCTGGGAACAACCCCCCCCCCCCCCCCCCGGTCTTAACCCAATGGGAAATAGGTGATGAAATTTGACAATGCTTGATGGAACCAATAATTCTGTTTTATTTATCTGATGTAATGTGAAGTATAAAACCCTATGTCTCCCATTGTAACCTTAGGGAGAGCTGTGGGATCCAAAATCTTGTTGAACCCGTGCTTCCCTCCTTTATTAATAAAGTTCTAGATCTGGTTCTACTCTACAGGATTGTGTTGTGTGTTTTCTCAAATTGGCCTGGGCAAACACAATCAGGGACAGAAGTTCTGTCTTACAGCATGAAGAGGAGGAACATGCTGTGACATACCTTTCTCACTCACAGAGAGTGCCTACAACCCTCCACAACATCTCTCCCACAGGTTCAGGGTTACAGGTAGGTCACACTGTCACGTCTACCCAGCTCCCTTTAATAATTGTCCCTTGGGGCTGGGGACTCAAACACTGTGCCATTCACACACTGCCACTGTTTATTCATATCCTAAAATACAGAGAGACTGAGATCTTAGCTTGTGTGTGTGTTGGTTTCTTTCCCTGAGACAGCCAGCCCACAGGGTTAAACAAACAAGAAGTTAACTTTTATTTATGGTTTGAACATAATACTGAAGAAAGACAGGTAGAGGTTACAAAGTTTCTTTCCCATTGAACTTTTGAACTATTTCCCTGTTCCAGCATTTGGGATCTTTTGTTACAAATGGATTTTCCCCCAGTCAGCTTTAAACTACTCTTCGCCACAGCCTCACTCAGACACATTCTTCAAATCCCTTAACTGCTGTTTTCAACTGTCCTTCTCACTAACATTCCATCAACACCTACTGGTCACTCTTAGGGAGAGGCAGAACCTAACTTGTTTGTCATATATGTATTTTATGGACATGAACACAACATGCATATAAGCATGCACAGACCCAGGGCGGGTTTTATGACATGGGTCATAGTGGATAATTCCATGCAAATGTCAACCCGTTGTGCCACAGCAGTGAAAAAGGCAAACTCTATGCTGGAGGTTATTTGGGAAACAATGGAAAATAAAGCAGCCACTATTATCAATGTCCCTGATGAGCCAGTGTGGTGTTAGTGATTAGGAGCGCAGACTCTGGGAGAACCAGGTTTGGTTCCCCACTCCTCCACATGCAGCTGCTGGTGTGACCTTGGGTCAGTTTCAAGTTCTTCCAGAGCTGTTCTCTCAGGAGCAGTTCTCAAAAGAGCTCTCACCTACTTCACAGGGAAAGGAGATTGTAGGCCACTCTGAGAATCCTTCAGGGTAGTGAAGGGTGGCGTATAAATCCAATCTCTTCTTCTTCATCATTTGGAACGCTGTGTGCAATTCCAGTCACTGCATTTCAAAAAGGATACTGCAGAGCTGGAAAAAGTACAGAAGAGATTATTAAGGAGTTGAGCCAGCCACTCACCTCCATGCTCGAGAGCAGCTAGACAGCAGTGGTGGGGATGGTGAACCATGTCTGGCACAGCCCCTACCCTTCCTTCCCAGCTGGGCCTCCCTCACTGCCTTCACCTCCTGCAGTGTCCTGAGCCTAGGGTTGCCAGCCTCCAGGTGGTGCCTGGGAATCTCCTGTTTTTATCACTGATCCCCAGCTGGCAGAGATCAGCTCCCCTGGAGAAAATGGCTACTTTGAAGGATGGACTGTATGGCATTGGACCATGCTGAGGTCCCTCCCCTCCCCAAACTCCACCCTCTCCTGGATCTACCCCCAAAGTCTCCAGGTATTTTCCAATCCAGACCTGGCAACCCTACCCGAGCCAGGCTGGGCCACCACAGCCGCTCCTGTCATGTACTACATATTTCCAGCTGACCTGGCCAGCCACAGCAGCAGCAGCAGCCCCGGTTGGCAACATCAGCATTGGAGCCCAGCCACCTGCCTGCCCTGTGTTCCACTGGGGAAAGGATCGGTCACTTTTTAGACCAATAAAGTTTAATTCGAGGCTTGAAAAATAAATTTGATAATACGAAACTCCCCCCCTGCCATGGTGCAACTCTTTGAACAAGATGGCAAAAGAGGAGACCTGAAGCACAACACACGTGTCTGTGTAGATTCTTCCACTAAGAGTCCTCTCCATCCCCGACACTGTTAATGTAATTAAATTTATTGTCAAAATGGTGCAGAGGAAAACTGAAATATTGAATAGTTATACAACCCCTAGGTGTATTTTCATACAGCTTCATCTGGGGAATCTTTTAGATTCTTTTTTGTTCTGTTCCCATACATACCCTGGAGCAAAGTACATATGGGAACAGAACGAAAAAGAATCTGGAAAATTCTCCCAACGAAGCTGTATGCAAAGCATGTAGGGGGTTGTAGAATTATTTTGTTTCCCTCTGTACCTTTTGTTTATTTTGCCTTGGTGCAGCCCTCCCTTTTCCCTTTCATTTTGGGGAGCCTGTGCAGTGTAGCGCCAGGACTTTGGTTTAGATTTCCACTACGCACTTTAGCTCACTTGAATGACTTTGTACTGCTCCCTGTCTCAGCCTAACCTGCCTCACAGGGTTGTTAGGAGGATAAAAGGAATACTAAAACGGGGTGGAGTAAAAAAAAAACCCATTAGTTGGGAGGATAAATCAGAGGGACTAGTGTTCCAGGTGGTGCTCCCTATGCTAAATAGATCATCTTAGCGATTTCTTTCTGCGAGATCCTTTATTTCCCAGCGGGAGAAGCTGCAATGGAAGGAAACTCTTTTTTCATTGGGAAACCTCCCGAGAGCCCCCTTCAACATCTCCTTCTACCTCCGCAATTTCGTATAGTTGTGATGTCCGAGTTCTCCAAAAACTGCACAGTCCCTATTATTGGCATTAAACTGAACCTTTCCCCCATGCTTTCCTCAACTCCCTCATTTACCATAAAATGTGAGAGCCAGAGCGCTGCCACCCGGCGTCCACAGGACACCGGCTTGATAACCAAACTCAAAAAGATAATTTCCTGTTTCCGCTTCTAACGCATCCGTTTGACCAGAGATCACTAAACAGCCTGCCCCATCGTAAGCCACATGACCTCCCCTCCCCTGTAGAAGGTGGAGACTTCAGTGACACACTTCCGGTCTAACTATGAACGGGTTTCAATCCAAGATATTTCTCATGGCATTTAGTAGATAGACGCAAAAGTCCAGCGCGACGCCATCTTGCCACCCGCTCAGCCCGCGGCCTCTCTCCGTGGTTCACCGGAAGTTCAAGCTGTATGTTTTTTCTAGACCCCCTTTTCTATTATTGGTCTTTTCCCCGACCAAGAAGAGGCGCTTTCACAAAGGCCTTGTCGTTCTTGCTCAGTCGCACACTCCAGGCCGGCTCTTCGCGACCCCCGTGGGCCACATCACGCCAGGCCCGCCCGTCTTCCGTCGTGCTCCGGGGAAAGAAAAAGCCGATCCCCTCCCAACTCTATCGTTTATTAAAGCCGGGACCGTCCCGGAAGCTCCCGGCTCACCCGCGCGAGTGGGTGGTCTCGCGAGAGGAGCCGGACGCGATGTAGGCCGGGGAGGCGGAGTCGGGCGCTCCGGTAGCGGGTGGCTGTGCTCGTCGCGGCGGGAGGAGGAGGCGGAGGAAGAGGAGGAAGTGTGATGGCGGCGACGGTGGCGGGTCCCGGAGCTGGCGTGAGTTCGGCGTCGCGCGGGGGCGGCCCGCGCTGGTTCTTCACCCGGGAGCAGCTGGAGACCACGCCGTCGCGTCGCTGTGGCATCGAGGCCGACAAGGAGCTCTCGTACCGGCAGCAGGCGGCGAACCTGATCCAGGATATGGGCCAGGGGGGCGGGCGGGCAGGCAGGCGCGAGGGGCTGAATGGGCGAGGAGGACAAGGGAGGGTCTCGGTCTCCCTCAAGCGGGGGGCAGCGGAGGCCTCGCCAGAAGGCCTTGGCTCCTCCTCCTCCGTTTTCTTCCCCCGAGGCAGAGCCTGGGAAGGCGCCAGGGGGGCTCTCTTGGGAATCGGCCCGAGCAGGGAGGCTTTGTTGTCTCTGGACGGCTCTCCGCGTAGCTGTTTTCTCTACCGGAGCTGTTGCCTCCGCCCGCCCGGGTGACCTCGGCTGCCTCTCTCTGCTGATGAGTGTCTGTGGATTAACTCCCGTTGCGGTCGGCGCGGGGAAAGCGGCACTAACCCGCCGCCGCACCCCTTGGTTTCGGGAGAGCAAGGGCTGCCGCAACCACGTGCAGCCGCCGTCCTGTCCTGATGCACAGGGCAATCCTAGGTAGATTTTAGTGGCCGTAGTCAGGAATCACAGCATTGTCGCACCGTTAGTATTTTGTGGTGGAATAGCTGCTTTAGAAATAGGTGTTTTCCGTTCTAGCTTTTTTTCTTACTTTGTGGGGGTTTTGGCTGATTTTTTTAAAAATTAAGATATTTCTTGGGGAGGTTGTTCGACATCTGTAATCCTGAGGGAGTTGGAACATAATTTCTCTGGTCCCTGTACAAGCTTCGAGTCTCTGTTCTCATACAGTATTGTAAGGTGCTGAATACAGGTGTTTAAACTTTTAAAGATTCAATAGGGCATGGTAATGAAGTTGGACTTTGGACTAATTTTTTCTCTTTCTTTCTCCCCCTCCCACCATGTCATTGGTTTGATTCTCCAGCATGGAACCTGATTAAATTAGATTACACCAGGCAGCTTTCATTACATTTTGGCAGTTTGAAGGGATACAAAGAGAAGATAAACTCCTGATTGTTTTTCAAAGATAGCTAAACTAAACTAGCAAGTTGAGTATTTAAAAAATGACACAGTATAGAATTAGAGATGTGAACTTTATTGAAATTTTGGAGCCATGAGAGTTTTCCCCCAGAAAAAAGGAATTTGTGAGAGAAACTGAGAACTAGGCAGAACCTTCCTATCAAATCTAAACCTCCTTTGCTCATTTAGCAGTATAAAATGATCATTTATAATTTGGTTGGCATAGGAAAACTATTTAGCATATTTATGGAATTAAAAAATATAAATACCTTCATTTTCTGTAAGAAAAAAGTGAAATATACACGATACTTGAGAGTTGCAAACTGCTGCAACTTATGCTACCATTGCATATGTATCATGATTTCTGCTATGTGCAAAACAGGACATACTCTCATATAGTCACAGAATTTTGGATTATTAATATATTTGGGTATCAAATTAAACTGTATAACACTGAAAAAGCTGAAATGAACACATTATCATTGAATACACAGCATATTATTGTTGCCAGAATTACTTGCATGTAGACAAAAATATTGTTGAAAATGTGTGTGTCAATAGGATAGACAGAAATTACCATTAGCTAATGCTGTGGATTGTGCAGTATTACATGCATGAAAATGGTGATACCACACATTTTGAGTAAAGTCTTGTGTTTCATTCACTCCAAAAGGAAAAGAATAGAAGTTCTTGCTAGTGTTCCCCCAAGTTATCAATTTTGCAACTGAAAAATTGAGAGTTCTCAGACATTTTCATGCTATCTATTTGAAATGAGTGGGCTTTTTTAACTCAAAAACAATACTTGTGACTGTGATGCACCTTCTCCACTCACACAGAGTGCCTACCACCCTCTACAACTTCTTTTCTTCAGGTTATGGGTTATATGTGTTGGATATTGTAGTTAGGGTTGCCAAAGCGACGCGTAGCGTCACATCCTAGCGACGGCGGTGCAATGCGTATTGCTGTCCCCCGCGGCAGGGATCCTGTGAAGATGTGCAGATCCCCCGCCGCGGCTTGGCAGCCCTAATTGTAGTTTTGCATGCAAGAGGATCTGGGAATGAAACAGTTCAGAAAATTCTCTCAGTCAGGTACACTTGGTAGTTGGCCCACCCTCTCATCCATTAGATGCTGAGCCTCTTTGGCTGTTGCTTGTCTTCTGTTTCTTCTTTTATAGGACCTCTCTTCTGTCTTTTACTTGGGCTTGGAGCTGTAGCAAGTTAACCTTTTTGAAGTTAATCTCTTCACAGTAAGTTAACTACCTACATGAATGTGTCGTGTAAGATGTGCTTCTGTTTTTGTAAGTAAAAATTCTTGTTATCACTGGAGTCAGATCATCGTTGTTGCTTGAATACCATTTTCCCCTTAATCGGGAAAAGCGGAAAATTGGGGATACCATATAAAGGCTTCTGTGCTTCCAAGGCAAATAGTCTTTTTACATTTAACCCAATAATTCATAGGTGAGGACGTCACACTCGCCATCCTTCTTGTCTCTTTTAAAATCTACAGAGAGTAATAACTATCTCATACCTCAGGTGCCCTCTCTCACTCCCAGATGCAGAAGAAACTTAGAGTCCAAGACCAACAAAGACCAACAAAGTTTTTTTCAAGGTGTGAGCTTTCATGTGCACACACACTTCATCAGACAATGAAATGGAATCACTAATCATAGTTGTATATATAGAGGGTGGCTTGTTAAATTAGCATGCAAAATAGTGAGGATAAACAGATAAAAAGAATGACAAGCTTTCTTTTTAAGAAATTTTTAAAAATCTTTTTAAATGGTTTCTTTTAAAGAAATTTTTTAATCTGTTAAAAAATTCTCACCATTTTGCATGCTAATTTAACAAGACACCCTCTATATATATGAGGAGCATATAGCAAAAAACGTAAAGACCAACAATAAAACTTTCTTCAAATACATTAGAAGCAGGAAACCAGCCAGGGAGGCAGTGGGGCCCTTGGATGACCAAGGGGTAAAAGGAGTACTGAAGGATGATAGGGAAATGGCTGAGAAGCTGAATGTATTTTTTGTCTCTGTCTTCACTGTTGAAGATGAGAAGTGATTGCCCACTCTAGAATCTCTGATTTCAGGAGTGGTGTTGAAAGACCTGAGTCAGATTGAGGTGACGAGAGAGGAGATCCTATGACTAATAGACAATTTAAAAACTAATAAATCACCAGGCCCGGATAGTATACATCCGAGAGTTCTGAAAGAACTCAAATGTGAACTTGTGGATCTGACAAAAATATGTAATATTTCCTTAAAATCTGCCTCCATTCCTGAGGACTGGAAGGTAGCTAATGTCACCCCCATCTTTAAAAAGGGTTCCAGAGGAGATCCTGGAACTTACAGGCCAGTCAGTCTGATGTTGGTACCTGGTAAGTTGGTGGAAACTCTTAATAAGAAAAGACTTAGTAGGCACATTGATGAACAAAACCTATTGAGGCAGACTCAGCATGGCAGTAACAACGAAGATCCGCTACACAGAAAGGGTGCCTGGTAGGCTTGTCACGTCCCCTACATGTATGTGGCCCTAGGTTTAGGATTGTATGAATTGGAACATGTAAGCCGCTCAGAGCCCTTAGGGGGTGAGCGGGATACAAATTGAAATATAAATAAATAAATAAATGGGTTCTGTAAGGGAAGATCTTTTCTCACTAACCTGTTACTGTTCTTTGAGGGAGTGAACAAACATGTGGACAAGGGGGACCCAATAGATGTTGTTTACCTTGACTTCCAGAAGTAAGCTCAATAGTCACGGGATAAAAGGACAAGTCCTCTGTGGATCAAAAACTGGCTAATTAATAGGAGACAGAGAGTGAGTATAAATGGGAAATTTTCTCAGTGGAGGGTGGTAAGCAGTGGGGTACCACAGGAATCAGTACTCGGTCCGATGCTTTGTAACTTGTTAATTATTTGGAGTTGGAAGTAAGCAGTGAAGTGGCTAAATTTGCAGATGACACAAAGTTGTTCAGGGTGGTGAGAACCAGTGAGGATTGTGAGGCACTCCAAAGGGATCTGTTGAGGATGGGCGAGTGGGCGTCAACGTGGCAAATGAGGTTCAATGTGGCCAAGTGCAAAGTGATGCACATGGGAGACAAAAATCCTAACTATAAATACGCGTTGATGGGGTCAGTCTGGCACAGCTGGGTCAGTCACAAGCTCTGGCACAGCTGTCCTTGAAAAAGAGCAGTTTGTGTCAGAGTTCTCTCAGCCCCACCCACCTCACAGGGTGTCTGTTGTGGGGAGGGGAAGGGAAAGGAGTTTGTAAGCTGCTCTGAGACTCCAAGTGAAGGGCAGGGTATAAATTCAATCTCTTCTCTTCTTCTTCTTCAGAGACTGACCAAGAGAGAGATCTTTGAGTCGTAGTAGATAACTCACTGAACATGTCAAGACAGTCTGCGACTGCAATAAAAAAGGCCAATGCTATGCTTGGGATTATTAGGAAGGGAATTGAAAACAAATCAGCCAGTATCATAATTTGTTGTTGTTGTTCAGTCGCACAGTCGAGTCCGACTCTTCGCGACCCCATGGATCATCTCCCGCCAGGCCCTCCTGTCTTCCGCCGTCCTCTGAAGTTTGCTCAATTTCACGTTTGTTGCATCGATGACACTGTCTAACCATCTCATCCTTTGCCGTCCCCGTCTTCTTTGACCTTCAATCTTTCCCAGCATCAGGGTCTTCTCCAGTGAGTGCTCCCTTCTCATTTGGTGGCCAAAGTATTTGAGCTTCAGTTTCATTATCTGGCCTTCCAGGGAACAGTCAGGGTTGATTTCTTTGAGGATTGACTGATTTGTTCTTCTTGCAGTCCAAGGGACTCTCAAGAGTCTTCTCCAGCACCATAGTTCAAAAGAATCTATTCTTCGGCGCTCGGCCTTCCTTATAGTCCAGCTCTCGCAGCCATACATGACTACTGGGAATACCATTGCTTTGACCATGCGGACTTTTGTTGGCAGGGTGATGTCTCTACTTTTTATCATGCTGTTTAGGTTCGCCATCGCTTTCCTCCCAAGGAGCAGGCGTCTTTTAATTTCATGGCTGCAGTCACAGTCTGCGGTGATCTGGGATCCCAGGAACGTGAAGTCTGTCACTACTTCCACGACT